ATATTTTATTATCCTGGAATGTCTCTTTTCTTAATTTTGTCATTTTCCTTATTCTCTTTTTTTAGTTCTATTAAATGCAGATTTCAATAACATGACATGCTTGCGGACTTCATGCCCAGATCCTAAAACGCTGTCAGACTTCGAAATAATGAATTAAGAATCAGAATACAATGAAGATAAGTTTAAGGAAATAAAACAAAGACTCGGAACATCTGAAGGAAAATTAGTTCTAGATTGGAAAGGTTCATACATTACAATAAGAGTACTTCCAAAAGAGTGTGTTGTATTTGAGACACATAGAAGGAAATGTCCTTGAAACAACCGTCAATGCAAATGCATCCAAAATGTACTATGTTGGATCCTTTATATAACATTGATGTTCTCCGGTTGGGATGACGAAGGCTTTCATTATCGCTACCCAAACACTATCAACCCTTTGAGCCGACTCCCATTCTTTGATTACCCTCTTTGAAACCTGAAAGTATTATTGAAAAATGAAATGAAAAAAAAGAAAAAGAAAAAGAAAAAAGAATATATACAAAAAAAAGAGGAAGAAAAGACAAAGAAAATGAAATGAAAAAAAAATGAAAAAAAGAGAGGAAAAAGAAAGAGAACAAAACAAAATAGAAAACAAAAGAAAATAAAAAATAAAGTTCCTTGAACTATGTTCGACTTGATTACGAAAGGATACATATGCAGCCTCTCTGGGGTTCAGTCATACCAAAAAAAAATCCAAAGTCCCCCAAAAAGTGAAACTGGGGTAGATGTTGTAATGGTTCGGCGATGATCCCGTCCAAAAGGTTCCAAAGTTGTAATTCAATCCAAATCCTTTTTTACCCAAACCTTGTTCAAGTCCTTTTGATCAATCGGTGAGAATGTTTAAGGACCGAAGAATATAGTTACTTGGATCCGATACAGTCGAAATGAGAGAAATAAAATGAGAGAGTCTTATTGGTGAAAATCCACACGGGCACCATAAGGCGATGGTAAGCAGAGAAATGGAAAATGAGAGTCTTGTTAGTGAAAACTCGCAAACAGCACTATAAGGCGAAAGTGAGAAGAGAAATGAGAGAGGTCAGCTTGTGAAAACCCGCAAAGGGCGCCCCTGATTGAAAAGAGGATCCTCATAGCCATCGGCATCAACAAAGTCCCGGCAGAGTTCTCGATTTTGAGGCAAAAGTTGTGATGAATTACTGAGAGTCGGACGGTTTACATAGATCAGGCGTCCAGTCCAAAAGGCATGTCATGTTTATTGAAGTTTGCATGTACTCCAGATAAGTCCTTCTTTCTTCTCCCTGAATGGGATACCTCTCATCTAAATTCATTGTCCATTTCATTATTTTTCTTTGAATCTCTTTCGGTCTAACTATATTCCTAAACTAAGACAAAGAAAGGATGGAAAGATTGATTTACTGGGATTTTGTTTGATATGAGCCAATATTCAAGAAGATACCTAGCCTCGGCAGGTGCATCGAGTCTACTTCGACTAGACATGATGACCGATGCTTTGAAATAAAAAAAAGAAGAAAAAAACTCCTGAAAAGATAGGAAATTACAGTCAAATGCCCACAAAGGCAAAATGAAGTTAAAAAGGTTGAGTCCCACGTAGCTAACTAGCTTGGCAAAGGTTTGAAAAGTGAAAGTGCCTCAAATGTTCTGAAATTGAAGTTGAAGAAAGAAACCAGAAATAAAAGGCCTATAAAGGCGAAATAAAGTTGGAAAATGTTAGTTCCCACGCGACTAGCCGTTGCAGCAGTTTGAGGAGACAAAAGTTCCCCAATGCTCCAAATGGTTTTAAAAAAAAAAGAAAAAAAGGGAGAAAAAGAAAAACAACAAGTCAAAAGTGAAAGGCCTACGAAGGCAAAATAAAGTCGAAAAGGTTGAGTTCCACCGACCAACCGTCATGGCAAAATCTAGAGAAAAAAACAGAGGTTCTTAGGGCCTGAAATGAAATCGGTCCCCAGGAAACGAGTAGTTGCAATTGAGATCTTAATCAAAGAAGCCGAGCCGAAATCAAGTGATTGAAACAAGCAAGGCCACACAACCAACCACCGTTTCAAACTAACAATTGTTCTTTGTTTGAAAACATGTAACATGTGCAATCCAAAACAACCTTGCAAGAAGCAAGTGCAACCAAAGAGAAACTGCGTAAGGGCTAGAAACAGCTTTACAACAATAATCAATCCAAAAGCGAAGTCTCCTCCAAACTCTCTCCTGCATTTTATTCATTTTCTTGAATTAAAAAAAGAAAAAAAAAACAAAAATGAAATGAAAAGAAAAAAAAGAAGAAAATTCAAAAAAAAAAACATGGTAGCCTAGGGTCATCAATCTCTAGTTACGTTTTTCCAGCATAGGGTCTCAACTCTCTAGTTGATTTTATTTCTAGCCATAGGGTCTCCACTCCCTAGTCTGTTTTTCCAACATAGGGTCTCCACTCCCTAGTCTGTTTTTCCAACATAGGGTCTCCACTCCCTAGTTGATTTTATTTTTAGGCATAGGGTCTCCAATCCATAGTCTGCTTTTCCAACATAGGGTCTCCACTCCCTAGTTGAAGTTATTTTAGATATAGGGTCTCCACTCCCTAGTCACTTTTCCAACATAGGGTGTCCACTCCCTAATTAAAGTTATTTTAGGCATAGGGTCTCCACTCCCTAGTCGCTTTTCCAACATAGGGTGTCCACTCCCTAGTTAAAGTTATTTTAGGCATAGGGTCTCCACTCCCTAGTTTGCTTTTCCAACATAGGGTCTCCACTCCCTCGTTGATTTTATTTTTAGGCGTAAGTTCTCCACTCCCTAGTCTGCTTTTCCAACATAGGGTCTCCACTCCCTAGTTGATTTTATTTTTAGGCATAGAGTCTCCACTCCCTAGTCTGCTTTTCCAACATAGGGTCTCCACTCCCTAGTTGATTTTATTTTTAGGCATAGAGTCTCCACTCCCTAGTCTGCTTTTCCAACATAGAGTCTCCACTCCCTAGTCTGCTTTTATTTTTAGGCATAGAGTCTCCACTCCCTAGTCTACTTTTCCAATATAGAGTCTCCACTCCCTAATTGATTTTATTTTTATGCATAGGGTCTCCATTCCTTAGTCTGCGTTTCCAACATAGGGTCTCCACTCCCTAGTTAATTTTATTTTTATGCATAGGGTCTCCATTCCCTAGTCGGCTTTTCCATCATAGGGTCTCCACTCCCTAGTTGATTTTATTTTAGGCATAGGGTCTCCACTCCCAAGTTGATTTTATTTTAGACATAGGGTCTCTACTCCCTAATCGCTTTTCCAACATAGGGTCTCCACTCCCTGGTTGATTTTATTTTGGGCATAGGGTCTCCATTCCCTAGTCTGCCTTTCCAACATAGAGTCTCCACTCCCTAGTTGAGTTTATTTTACACATAGGGTCGCCTTTCCAACATAGGCTCTCCACTCCCTAGACTCCTTTCCAACATAGGGTCTCTACTCCCTAGTTGAGTTTATTTTTAGGCATATGATCTCCACTCCCTAGTTGAGTTTATTTTTAGGCATATGATCTCCACTCCCTAGTCTGCTTTTTCCGACATAGGGTCTCCACTCCCTAGTCACTTTCCCAACATAGAGTCTCCAATCCCTAGTTGATTTTAGCATTGATATAAGGCTCCACTCCCTAATCTCTTTTTTCTCAACGATACACAATCCTGATTGTATTGCTTTTAATAAAGAAATAGTTTAGATTTTGGTTACAAATAACTCACAAATTTTCCTAGTGAAAACTTAGGTAGAAAATTTCGTTCGTTTGTTTGCTTTGATGCCTGAACAGGTTTTCACCGTGAGGCACATGGTTTGAGATGGCCAAAAGAAAAAGTCTCAACCTAAATAAAAGAAAAGAAGAAACAAGAAAAGAAGTTGAACTCTAAGTGTAGAAGCGGAGAAAAGATGTGGACTGCCCAAGATAAGATTAAAGTCACAAGTTTCGCATTGTCCCGTCTTGATACGAAAAGTTGAAGAAGAATGAACCAGCAACTGCAGTTAATGAGCATCAAACATTCAGATCAGAGTCTACAGAAAGAACCAGCCAAGATTCAAGATCAAGCTTTAGAAGGATTATAGGTAGGAATCTTGTAACTCGTAGTTGATAGGCTTAGCTAGTTTAGCTTTTTATTTTTCATTTCGGTGTAATAAGGAGCTCAGCAAGCAGAAACAACTACAACAACAGTGAAATCACAGCTTCTCGGTAGTCCCAGCTACCAAAACTTCCAGAACTACACCGACCTGATTCATTTATAGCCAAAGATATGTAGGCAACCTCCGAAGCAAGATTTGGTCAAACCTTTTCAAAATGCTTCTAAATGGAGTTTCAAACGGGCAAAAATTGCTCGTAATTGCTCACTTTATCTTTGCCCGAAAACTCTTCATGTTTTCGAGCAAAGAGGGGCAGCTGTGATCATGTGATTTTTACCATATATGAATTACTCGTACATAATCCAAGAAAATAGATTTTTTTAATTATTTGCCATATTTTAGAAATTTTTGTAGAATTTTATTAATTGTTTGCATTTTTTTGCATATTTGATTTTTATTTAAATCATGAAAAATACCAAAAATATCATGCAATGCACTTATGCTTTATTTTTACATTTTTAGGATTAACTAATAATTATTTGTTTTATAAAATGAAAATTACCAAAAATGCTTCATTTTTACACTTTTTCCTTTTATTGAATTTTCTCTTTTAATTTTGGATTAAGTAGCTTTTATAATTTTTGTAATTATTTAGTTATGTTTAATTTCACATTTTTAGATAATCTAGGATTTTAATTTTAGGATTTTTAATTAAAGAAAAAGATAAGAAAAAGAAATTGAAGGAAAAATTTAATTGGATATTGGGTTAGTTCTTGTACCCAAATTAAGCCCAAATTTTCCTACCCAGCCAAAAACCAAATTGTCCCGCCAGCCCATAACCCGGATTGGCCCAACCCGTCTCTTTCAAACCGCACTTTCCTAAAATCTGGGGCTAGACCTTACCCTTAGATCCCTACACACAGGGAACGGCGCATTCCTTGCGTCTTCAACCTAAGAACAACAGAAGGGAACAAAAACAGGCCCCCTTTTGTTACACCCACCAAAAAGAAAACGACGAACCCCTACCATTTTAGGCTTCTTCTTCACTTTCATCTAGAGATGAACATCCCCATTTTTCAAAACCTCAGTCAACCATCAACCTGAAAGCAAAAATCAGACTCTCATTTTCATTTCTTGGCTAAGAGCTTTCTCCGACAAAAGATTTTGTTCTACCAGGTACAAAATAAATCAGACGCCATGGAAATCCAGATCTAAAAAAAGTTATTCGAATTTCTACTCTTTCCTTCAATTTTCTGGAATTTGTGCTACTGATCTACTGAACTTCTTCTTTGTTCTTTTGGTCTTTATTTGACATTTAAGCAATAAGTGATTTCCAGGTATGTTTGTTTGCTCAGTGATTTTCTTGTTGTAGAGCTCAATTTTTCAGATTTAATACGAATGGTATAATCTTTGTTGGCTTTGTTTGGTGTGAAGTTTATTGTGATATTCTGTGTTTAATAGTCTTGATGATTTGTTGTTGGTAAAATTCCGTTATCATTTAGTTCGATTGTTGAGCGTGTTTCATTTTGCTTGAGACAGCCTCTTTGAAGTCTGCTTAAAGAGAGAAGGAGCCATATTTGTTAATTGAAAAAAAAGAATTGGACCTAATTATATAACTATTTCAACGATTGGCTTAATTATACAATATTATGTTTCTGAATCTTGTAATTGTATGGCTAAGTTACGTTTCTTCATAAACTGGAAATGCTACACAACAAAGTTCATGTCAAGAGGTGATGCTGGTAATTTAATTAGTATAGCTGACCCCGTTTGCTTTAGATTTAATTGTTGTTGTAGATTTTAAATTATTGTTTTGTTTGTTTCTGTAATATTAACCTACTGTACATGTCAAAGGCTATTATGTTGGTTGTTTCCTTTTAACACCAAGGAAGAAATAAATTTTCTTTATTCAAGTCTTGGATTTGCATTATTTGTTCACTTATATCAAGTCTAACGTGACCCTTTTTTAGTTGAAATAGAGTTGGGTAATTGGTACCAGCTAGCCATATAATGAAGGTTTGCCACCATTACATGCGTAGTTTGGTTTAGACGCGTAATTAAATCATCACAACTACGGGTAATGTTCCCATGACGTGGTTGTAATACTTAACTTTAGATTAGATAAAAATAGGAGCACCTTTAGTTTGCCTTTTTAAAATATATATAAACTCCTTTTCTTAAAATAATTTGAGGCATTCCATGCCCAAATAAAACCCATAATTCATGGTCCTCATAAATTGAATCAAGAGCTAGTCCTTATAGAAAAGATTTGAGGTGTGCCATAAATAATTAAATCATCCATGGCCCTCACAAACGTTGCTACTAAAATTGTAGTTGCTTTAGGCACGTTTTATAATAAATCATCATGGTTATGGGTACGGTTCCCATGACATAGTCCTGATACCTAATTCCCAAAATCGGAGGTGCATTTCATGTAACCCGGTCATAACAACTTTGAAAAATTAATAAAATAAATACGTTTGTAAATTACGGGTGCATTTCATGTAGTGTGGTTCACGGTGTGTTCCAAAATAAACAAGTGTACGACAATCGTAACTTGTTCAAGAAATAATTTCATAAATCCTAAAAACGTTTAAAATTATTAAAAAGCGGTTATAAAGTCAAAAATTTACTAAGTTTTAAAACATATAATTAATCAGATAATTAGGCCAATTTAAATAGTTTAAGCGACCGTGCTAGAACCACGGAACCTGAGAATGCCTAACACATTCTCCTGGGTTAACAAAATTTCTTATTTAGAATTTCTGGTTCGCAGACTTTTAAAATAAAGTCAAAATTTTCTCGATTTGGTACTTTAAAATCAACCGATGACTTGAGACACCAAATAAATTATCCCAAGTGGCGACTCTGAATAAATAAAATAATCCCATTTCGAATAATGTCATTTCAATTGGAAAAACTCCCTTATATCTTCCTTCGGATGGTAAAAAAGATGTGTGACAATGAGATCATTGAATTCATGACAAATGCTGAAGTCAAAAGATGGCATAGTCACCAGCCAAGTAAAATGAGTTCAAGTGACATTTGATGCAGAGAAGCCAGTAGAGATTCTCGACATCCCTGCTGAGGGTTATGATGACTACACCATGCAAAGATGGCCAAGTGTGGATTTCCTTCTTCCTACCCTTGAAATCACTAGGAGATTCTGTGATGTTGAAGAAGTGAATGAGGTCATGTTTGTGCACAAGAGTAAAATGAAGCCACATCACAAAGTCCTCTTTGAGTTTGTCAACAAGTGCCTACTGCCCAAGCAGGAAAGAAGTCATATTTCTAACTATATGGACTTAGTTCTCATGGAGTGCCTTGAATGTGGAAGGCAAATCAACTGTCCCGCATTCATCATCAAGCTACTGGACAGGGTTATTAATGGTTCCAAGACCCATGCCACCCCCTATGGCTGTATTCTGACTAGTGTACTGGATCGATGCAAGGTGCCTCTGAAGAAATGGGAAATGGCCACAAGCAAGGACTACTTTGGAATTAATACTCTGATTGCTTGTGACTATCTAGTCAATGCCATTCCAGATGAACCTGCATCCAATAAGACACTTATCAACAGTAAAGTCAGGGCTTTAGTTCAGGAAAGTGAGGCCAAGGATATTGAGATAGCTAGGTTGAAGGCTCGCTTAGCAGAGGTTGAAATTGAGAGGGATGCTCTCAGAACTAAGCTTACAAGGAAAAGGAGAAGAATGACGACATTCTTCACAATATGTTGAATCTTCTCCAAGCCCAAAACCAACCCTCTAGCTCCCCCAAGCCTTAGCAATTCTAGCCTTTATCTCCTGAACCTGTCTAGTACCATCAATGATCTAGATTAGGGATTTCTTTTTCTTATTGCTCATGTTTTGATTATTTTTGCTTTCTATTTGTGGAGTGTGGTAGCAACATATCTTCTATAATGATATCTACTGTTTTGGTTCTTATTGATTGTTACTATTTTTTGTGAACACGTGATTTTTGCCCTATATCAATTACTCCCATAACTTCAAAACAAAATAATTTCTTTTAGTGTTTGCAATTTTGTGGATTTTTGTGGCATTTTCTGTTAATTGTTTGCATTTTTGTTTGAGCATTTTAATTAGTGAAAAATACAAAAAATGCGTTGCATGTGCATTTAGGAGTTAATTTTTCATTTTAAGAATTATTTGGTAATTAAATTATTTTATAAAAAGGGAAAATCACAAAAATAGTTTAATTTGCACATTTTGATTTTTACTTTGATTTTGAGTAGTTCTTCTTTTAGTTTGTTTTTAATTAAATGTGATAATTTTTATTTTTAATTAGTATTTTTTCAGGTTAATTTAGTTTGAGGATTTAATTTAGGTTTTAATTTTAATTTTAAAAAAACAAAAGAAAAAGAAAAAAAGAATTTTGAAGAAAAATGAATTAATTGAGATGAGCTGATTTTGGGCCACTTATGTTAATTCTTTCCAGGCCCAATGCGAAACCCATCCAAACCTGCCCAAATCTCAGCCCAAACTCGTACCCTAACCTGGTCTGCCCCACCCTAAAGCCAAAACGACGTCGTTTCATCAGGCTTGATCTGAGTCGTTGATAGTTCCCAATCCAACGGACAAGAACTAGTTTCCAAAACCCTACCCGCCGCCATATTTTCCACCACACCCACCGGCGGCGCCGACCCCTTTTCCCACCAAATCAACACTAAATGACCACCATGACCTCCTCATCCCATATACCCAACCCACTACCCTCGGATCCTAATGAGACTCTTCGAATATTAAATCACAAGTTGAGCCTTAAAAGTCAAAATCGAGATTCTGCGGACGATGTTGGTCCAAAATGATTTTATTCACTTGTTCTCTATGAGAACATGCGATTAATATCAGATTGGACCAGGAATCCAAAGAGTTGAAGATTTGAGTTGCCTTTTTCTTGGTCCGAGTTGGAGAAGGTATTTCTTTTTTGTCTGTGATTAATCTTCTTTTGTTTGGTTTTTCCTTCATTGTTTTCTTTCTGTTCCTTCTGTTCTTCTAGTTTCTTTCTTATTTTTGATTACATGCATGAGTAATTAAGAGTCCTGTCTTGATTGGTTAATTAGTTTGGTTTGACAATTTAGTTAATTCTTTCCGTGTTAATTAAGCAGTAATCTAGTTTTAGGCTCATCAGTTGGTTATTTCAAGTTACTAAATCAATTGGTATAGATTTTTAATTATTTGAACCATTTCAGCGTGTGCTTACATTTCACTAGTTGTGTCGTTTAGGTTCTGGGTTGGCTATGACCCATTTGCACAAGAACAACCCATTCAATTTGGCGCTCAGGTCATTGGTTCACTCGACCCATGACCCATTTGGGGTAGGTTTCAAAGGTAATTAACAGGACCTTAAAGGGTAATTTGGGGATTGTAGTTAAGGAATCTTTAGTGTAAAATAAATAAGAAGCTTCCATGAAGCTGGGGGTAGGGATTAAAGTGAATTTCTAGATTTTAACTAGGGATTTCTAAGCTAAAATGAAAATTTCAGAAGGTTTTAAGTGCAATTTTGAACTCTTTGAGGTTGCCCTAGTAGCTTGCCTATAAAAGGCATTGTTAGTTAGAGCTGATGTTTGAGTTTTGAGAGCTGGAACTCCAGAAAATACAGAAGCTGCAGAAATTTTACTATTTCATAAACCAAACAACTAGAAATTTTCATAAAAATCACTGTTCCATTGAACTTCTTCTGTGATTTCTGGAGTATTCAATTTCTGAAACAATTTCTGAGTCATTTGGGGTAGACATGGACTGAATTTGTGTTTTAAAAGTCTGGTTTGAAGTTCACTGTGGTTATTGCTCGATTGAAAATGGTTTTTGGACTGTTGCACATCATTTTTCTATTTGAAATTGGTTCTGCTGGTGCTGACTTCTGCTATTGCTACTGTTGACCCTTCACCTCTTATTTCGGTTCATTTCCAGGTACATGTCCTGAAACTCATATAACTTGATGCTCAAGTTGAAGAAAAATGGAAATGGGAATTTGAAGCAATCACATCATTGTTTTGTTCATAACTTAGTCTTATTCTCCTTTCTTCTTCCTTGTCTCTGAAGCGTTGTTACTGATTTCATGAAAATCTTTAGACGTTGTAGAATAGTTTAATTTCGCTTTCATCATAGTTATTCTTTTGTTTATGTTTTAGGTCTGGTTTGTAATATTAGTAAGCTGTGATGTGAATCATGATTCTCTAATTAAGGTTTTCTAGGATTTTTAGCTTCTGAAGTGTAAATGAATAACAATACGCATGTGGCTAACTTATAATGACCTGGGAATGGGGTTTCAGTCAATTTCAATCGTGGCTTCAACACTTAGCAATTGTAGGTTTAACTTTGATGATTATTCGATACCAAGTTTTCGGATCTGTGATGTTTAAATCCCTCTATTTTGTTTAAGAAAGTTGGACGTTTTCTGCTGTAGTCTGGGTCCGACGCGCGAAACCCATTGATACCCAGCTTGTACATGATTGATAAGTTGGGCTTCCTACATAGGCTCATTGAAATTTGCTGTGGAGATTCAATTTTTGCAGCTTGTGGGTTTAGTAAATTGCTGGGCCTCACATTAGGCCAAACCCAAGTTCTGAAACAAAATGGAGTAATTTTCACTTAGTCTTAACCCTTTAGATTCACAATTTAAATTCAGTTGTGTTTTAACAAGTAGCTATAATTCCCTTAAAACTTATTTAGTTAGTTTAATTCGTGGAAGCGTGCCATTCGAAATCAAATAGTTTATGGCCCTCTAAGTATAGCTGAAATTCCCTTTTAAAATTGGAAGTCGAGATGTGCGAACAAATGACAATTGCAAGGCCCTCATTTTGATTAACTTCGTTTTGACCCCTAGAATTCGAGGTGCGCCATTTAGTTGAACTTCCATGGCCCTCGCAAAGTTGCAAATGCGTAGTTGCTTTAGGCGCGTTATCTTAATAATTTACCTTCCTAAACTCGGGTGCGCATTTATGTGACCCAAATCCCAATCTCAACAATGTTATATAAAATGTGTTACAGACTACCGATGCATTTATGTGACGTGGTTCAAGACATATTTTAAATGACGTTACAATCTTCCTTCAATTAACTTAATTAAAGCGGCTAAAGTTAAAATTGAACCATAGGTTAAAACATGTAGTAAAATCAGATAATTAAGCCGAATATAACAGTTGATCTACCGTGTTAGAACCACGAAACTCGGGAATGCCTAACACCTTCTCCCGGGTTAACAAAATTCCTTACTCGGATTTTTTGTTCGCGGACTGTAATACAGAGTCAACCTTTCCTCGATTCGGGATTTTAAACCGTTGACTTGGGACATCATAAATCTCCCAAGTGGCAACTCTGAATCTTTTAATAAACAATCCCGTTTCGATTGTCCTTTAATTGGAAAAACTCTCGTTATACCCTTCCGGGGTGTAGGTGAAAAAGGAGGTGTGTCAGTTCTGGCGTCTCTGCTGAGGATCGAACCTAGAATCTCTGGTTCAGGGTTCAGAATTTGAGCTTAGATGAATTGTTATATTTGGTTTTATCTGTTATCTGATTTTATCACATGTTTGGGCCTAATGTGCTAAGTGCTGCTCTTTACCGCTTTGATATTATCTGAACTGTATATAAACTGCTACGAAACCCTTCTCTTGTCATCTTCGGAGATGTGCTCGCTGGTCGAGACTCCCTATTCTGTTAATGTCATACCTTGAAATAAGAAAGAGGCTCGGACAAGTTACTAAGCCGGATGGTTTTTTGATTCCCGGTACGTAGCCCCCTGCTCGGCTCGAGTTATCCACTTGAGTACACAGTCTAGAACAAATACCCAGGTTTTGAACCTAGAATAACTCAGCCTCATGCCGGATCCCTAGTAGGAACATTTGTTTGCATCATGTGCTTTTTGACTTTGGAGACTCAACACAGGGATTGGGTCTATCTAGGACAGGTGTACCCAAAATATAAAGACCATTATGATGCATCTTACTTGTTACTTGTGCATTCATTTGCTTAGGATTTGCATGTTGACCGGCTTATAAGAAAAAATCAGAAGGTTTAATGGGATGGTTGAGAGGCATAAGTGTCTATTTTGAAAAACCAATGTCCCAAAACATACCGAAACTCTGCCGAAATTTTGAAAAAAAGAAGAGAATTTTGTAGTTTTCAAAGAAAAGAATAAAAAGGGAAAATCTTTGTGTTTTAGAAAGGAAGAATAGTTGGTTTTATTTTGACAAATTTTCCCGAACTACGCCAGTTTGATTCTCACAGGGGGTGAGATACGTAGGCAACTCTCATCGTGTCCAACTTCTTTTTGCAAAAATAGCCCAAAAGAACAAAAATTTTACTATTATTTAAAAATAGTTAGGGTGATGCCATTCTTGTCAGAAATAGCCGAAGGTTCCTAAAAAGGGCGCCGGAAGGCTGTCTTTGCAAGAACAGCCACCTGTGGTCATTTTTTCAAGGTTTTCACCGATTAGCCAATACAGCCTTAAAATCTTCGACTCCGAGGTGCTAAAAGGCCGTATTTGCAAAATCGGATTTTATTTTTGAATGAAAAAAGTGTCAATTTGTTTTTGAGTCAATTGAATCGTGATTTTAACTTAACCACCCTAATAAATGTGCAGAATGAGCACAAGTCAGAATTTGCCAATAACAGTCGTGAACAAGATCCCTTTGGAGTTGCATATGTGGTGGGATGATTTGGATAAATCTGGACAAGACACGGTCAATCAATACTTGGGAGGCCTCACTGGGTTGTTGAAGATTAATCCTATGGGGGACATCATAAAGGCGTTGGTTACATTTTGGGACCCGGCCCACAACGTATTTCATTTCTCAAATTTTGAACTTACTCCAACATTGGAAGAAATAGTCGGATATATTGGGAATCCCAAAGTTCCCCCGAGACACCGGTACCTGATTGCTCCAAGGGCCGTAGCCGTACACAGGTTCTTAGACTTTTTGAAAATAAGTAGGGGGGTCCACAACCCAGACTTGGCGGCTGATTTTTGTACTTTGCAGTTTATATACAACAGATATGGTCATGTAGGAGGGTTCAACAAACCGGAAAATAAAATCTGTAGCAAAGGAAACCACCTTAAGTGGGAAGAACACAGGTGTTTCGCATTTATGGTAGTCTTTTTGGGACTTTTGGTATTTCCTAGAAAAGATGGGAATATTGACATACGAGTAGCCGGGATTGTCAACACTTTGCTTACTCAGGCCAAAAGCACCCTCGCACCCATGATAGTAGCTGAAATCTTCCGCGCTCTCATAGCCTACAAAGCCGGAGGAGACTTTTTCGAGGGGCGCAACGTGTTTTTGCAGATGTGGATGATCGAACACTTATGCCATCGTCCTCAATTTATGAGCTATGGGTCGACAGAGAAAACATGCGTAGAAGAATTTTAAACAAGGGTTAACGGAATCAGCCTGCCGGAGGGGGTCACAGAGTGGGAAGCGCGCCTCCGTTCCATCACTGCAAACCAAATACAGTGGACATTTGGATGGCTGACTTTGGATGAGGTCATATACATGCCAGCCACCGGGCCTCATTTCCTCTTGATGGGACTCAGGAGTATCCAGCCTTATGCTCCATATCGGGTTTTGAGGCAGCTGGGGAGATGCCAGATAGTTCCGAGAGATGAAGATCTTAGTGCCCAAGTAGTCGAGATCGGACCTAACGGTCAGTTTCATGAAGCAGTAGTCCGCCAAATTTGGAGCGAATGTCAATACTTAACAGTCAATACCTGTGTGCGTGATCGATCTAAAGGTGAGGTTTCACCAGGGTTCCTTGCTTGGTATAAGAGAGAAATTGAGTTTGGGAGGCCGGCTAAAAGACCCTATCTTCAGGAATTCGTCGAGGCATCACAAGAACAATGAGACTGGTTGGCCAAAGAAAGCGAGTATAGGGCTACCATAAGTAAATTGGAAAAACAAGTCAGGGACCTTCAGTTTGAAAATAGCTTGCAAGCCGCGGTGGACTAAGGAGAAAAGAAAAAGCTAGCCATAGAAAATGAGGCTCTTCGAGCGCAAATTCAGGAAATGAAAATAGCGGCAGAAAACCCAGCCCGAAGCGCTAAAGATGGGAAACTCATAGCTAACTTGAGGCAGAAAGTGAGTGACTATAGTTTTCATTTGAACAAAGCAGAAAGTGAACTAGCCAAGGCTCGAAAACAGTTGGCAAAAAATGTAGATGAACAAGCACGCCTGGTTAAGCAGTTGAAAGAAAAGTACGATGATGAGGTCGCGAGATTAAAGAAAAGGGCCATCGCTACAGAAAACAAAATGATCAAGCAGGCGAAAGACTTCAAGGCTGAAAGAGAACATTGTTATACGGCATTGGCACAACTAAAAATAGATTTGCAACAACTTCAGGAGCAAAATCAAGTGGCCGAGCAAACTTTGGGGGCCAGGACCCAGCAGATTGGGAATTTGTGACAAGAAAAAGGTGTCATAAGAGAGAGAATTAGAAATATCGCCGATTACATCATTATGAAGTGCCAAATCTGTGAGGATATGACTCGCACTACCTTATTCGCGGCAATGATGACATTCGTTAAGCAGATAATGAGTGACTTGGAACGACTTCAAAGGGATCTTGCATATAGGCCCGCGGCGAGACCGAATGATGTCCCACGGGCACCAGGAACATTGATGTATTCATGATTTCCTTTTCCGTTAGAGTCTGTCAGTTGTGTTGAGTTTGTATTTTCTTTTTGTCGGAGTCTGTCAATTGTGTTCGAGTTTGTATTTTAAATTGTCGGAGTATGATAGTTTATTTTTGGAGTCTGTATTTCATCTTTTCATCAGCATCTGGAGTCTGTTAGCATTGACTATTTGTAATCAAAGTGTTTGATTTTTATGAAATTGAAAATCCCAAAAATTGTTTCATTATTCGCTTTCACACTTATCTCCCAGAACTACGCTCAGTCTGGTTCATGCAGGGTCATGATACATCGGCATTCTCCATAGGATTCAACCATAACCAAAAGAGAAAAAAAGAGAGAGAGGAAAAAATAAGAAAAAAAAAAGAGAAAAAGAAAAGAGAGAAAATAAGAGAAAAAAGCAATGGCAAAACAAGAGGGAAATGAGAGGATAAAAAAAAGAAAAAAAAAGGCCAGAATGGAAAAAGAGAAGAAAGAGAAGGAAGTTGCAAATGGAAAAGCAGGGATGATGCAAACAGCCGATCAAATGCATAATAGAAACAATTAATTGCTTAGGTGCATTCATTCCCCAAATGTGGTTACCAATCTGTTTAAATCCTAATCGCTAACAAGGTTGTTGTTGATGTATTGAGACCAGGAAAGTGGTTAGTTGATTGA